GGCGTCTGAAAACTTTCAAATGTTTTCCTCTTTGATTAAATTGTCATGCAAGCAATCCCTAGAATATTGTATGAACTGAATAATGCAATCGATAAATGTAATGTCATCAAAGGCTTGTCTTTATCTTATTTATAATCACTTTTAAGCGGCCATTTTGAAATTTTCGTCATTTTGTTAAAAAAAGATACAAGTCTTATATAACCTTATGACTTAGTATAAACGTTGGATTACATTTTTATATGATTTCCAATCATTGGTTTGAATAGAATTTGCATTAAACACCATTATATGGACTGATTGGAAGACGTCTTGAAAATGGCGGCCATATTAGATTTGTCAGATTTAATCCATAGCTTTAATCGAGTGTCAAATATATATCTACAATTGTGCAAAGTTTTATGCTTTAATCATCTAACCCACCATTCCTCTAAAAATATGAAAGTTTCAGCATGACTAGTTCAAGCCACTCAACTTACAAAAGAAGTGTTTCCATCAGGAAGACTTCTTTTATTAATGATAATAGTCTGTACCATGCACTATTTCTATTTGTGTCGTCGGTACACCTGCTGTTTTCGAATGTTTGCTTTTGGCATTTGAGTAACATTTGAATTTCAGAACTTTTGGTATTTGTTTTTTAATTTACACCTGTAACTACCCAAATAGTATAGTCAGCATATTATGTTGCTCCACATTAGCGATGACCTAACAGAACAGGGCTTGATCATTCAAGTTTCCTTATTAATAGCAGTGTAAAGATCGAAATCTTCTGTATCAGCAGGACCTGCTAAATATCAGATTTGTAACACTGAGTTATATATATGCATATACTTGAATTGTTTCACAGTTCTCATTTCAAAACCTTTTATTGCATTGTTTGTGTTGTGGATTTGTTCATCGTTGAACGTTGTACGGTGACCTATAGTTGTTATCTTCTATGTCATTTGGTCTATGGTGGAAAGTTGTCTCATTGGCAATCTTTCCATATCTTCTGGTTTTTACAAGTATAGTTGTAGTGTATGTACCATCTGATCCTGCATAATCCGTTGATGCAAGGCTAGATAGTTTAACAAAACAGCATGGTTAGTGTGTATTGTGCGTTTTACCATCTTGGTCCCTACCTAGCATTTTGAAAAACTGTGGGTTTTGTTTGTTGAATGTGGAGGTAGACTTGTGCAAACAATTGTCGACATTCCAATGGGAACGAACTGTGCGCCTCTCCTTGTCGACCTCTTCTTTTTTCATATGAGTCGGAGTTCCTTCAAACACTTGTCAAAAACAAGAAGATCAAAGACGCCAGATCATTTACTTTCAAATTCAGATATATTGATTATGCTATTAACAATCCAACCTTTTCTGATTGGGTTCCATATGTATGATCAAGAACAAGAAACTAAAGATACAACAGACACGGCTTCCTCTGCCTCATTTTGAGATTTAAACATGTTAAACTTTGAACTTGACATAAACGGTCATTTCAGTACCAAAATTGATGACAAACGAGACGATTAGTAGCAATATACAAACTTCACCTTCATATGGGATATACATTTCCCAACTCATTCGGTTTTCAAGAGCTTGCAGCTGCTACTCAAGACTTTGTAAAACGTTACCAGTGCCTGAGCAGAAAGTTGATGAACCAAGAATATGTCAAAAAACGTCTCGTCCTTTTTTCTAAAAAAAAAGTTTATCGGGAGATCTTGTTGATAAATATTCCGTATCAACTTCACAAATAATACACGATGGTCTTGAAGTATAAATTCTAGGTACTGACTTTGTTTTTCATCTTAATAACATCTTATAATATTCTTTAATTTGTCTCTGTAAATTACTACTTTTACTGTTTAGTCTATTTTTGGTAATATCCATTTGACGTGGCTCTGTACTTATAAGCCCCGTCATTGTGTTATTGTGCAATGGTAAGTTTTGTATTCTTGTCTTTGGTTTTTGGGACTTTCTGTTTAGAATTTTCTTCAGAGTTCGGTTTGTTTTTTTATTCAACTTCTTAACTAGCTCCACAACTTTCTCTTTTTTTTATAATTATCTGGCTCCGATGAAGGAACGCAAAACGTTTAATTTTATTGCAACAATTAGTTTAATCAAATTCACATTAAGTATGGTATACAATATAATAATGTTTTGTTTAAAAAGATACACATAAGTTTCAATTTGATGAAATGCCTATACTTTGTGACAACAGCCTTCAAATCACACATGAATAAAATTCGTATTGGAAATAAGTGTCACGCCAGTCAATTTGAATGAATACATGCTTCTCCTTTCAAATAGCATATGTATTGTATATGTTGTGTACAAGTTATCATTTTGTACAAATTATAATTTGTATAAAAATGTACTAATTATAATTTGTATTATGGCTTTGTACAAATTGTAATTTGTACAAAAAGTGCTAAAAATTCACTTATAACCTGTACAATAATTTATAGTATGGATTTTGCTGTAAAAAAACATTGAAACACACTACAGAATTTTTAATCAATGACCACACAATAAACCTTATTTATAAAATACACAGTTCTGTATCATTTGTTTGAGCATGTGAGCGAATTATGGCATTAGAAATGCACAACATCTTTTTCTTTTTACATTTACATTTAAAAGTGCTGCACCTCCTTTGCATTTACATGAAAGAAATCCCGGACCACCAGTTTTTGAAAGTTTTGTAACTGCTTTACGTAGCGAAAGTCGAAACTAATGAACTGTTGCTGCGAATAAAGATATGTCTTCAACAGCTTCAATTTGATTTCTCGACAAATATCCTGTAAAAATGCATACAGCTGTTACAAAGCGGTACCCAAATTCCCCAGATTAATTCATGACAATTGGGCTAATTTCTATTATGCTATCAGAATTGTCACTGGACCAATTTTTATTATTCTATCAAAATTTTGACCGGGCCAAATTAGTATTGTATTATCAGAACTAACTTGCATGCATGTATTAATTACATTGCCCGTCTACATCTGGTTATTTTAGTATTTTGTAAATAAAGTTTATGTTGTGGTCATTGAATAAAAGTTCTATAGCTTGTATCAATGTTTTTATACAAAAATCCATACTTTAAATTATTGTACAAGTTATAAGTGAATTTTAGTCAAATTTTGTACAAATTGTAATTTGTACAAGCACTTTTTGTACAAATTACAATTTGTACAAAGTCAAAATACAAATTATAATTTGTACAATCTTTTTGTAAAATGATAAATTGTACACAACATATACACTGTTTACCATGGTTGACATATTGTAGTATGACATCCTATTAGGAAATGTTTACTGTAGGAACCACACCTTAATCCCGGTATTTATGTATTACGTGTAAACTTATCATGAACATCATTTTATAATAATATGTGTACATTGATTGGTTTATGATCAATTTAGTGGATTGTCTAAACTGACCATTGGATTCAGGCAAGTTGCAACTATTTCCATTTACAAGATAACATTAAAATTTTATCTAGACAACATACAATTTTTTGGTTCAAACATATTTTAACACCAACATGAAAAACAGGTCACAATACAGTTTTAAATATACTACCAACGATTTAATAACACATGAACTTTTAAATAAAGTTGGTGTTCTTTTCTATTTTGTGTATCGAATTGTTTTTTGTGTAGCATGAAATACCTTCTTACAGTGAAGTCTTAAACAAAATAATTTCTAAAAAAAAATCCTTTATCAACAATAACATGAATTAGACACATTGATCAATACAAATGTCAATAAAAAATACACAGTATAACTCAAACTGGTGACAAAGAATGAAAACTATCAATATCAGAATGTTGCACCACCGAATAACGTTCAATTATTTATGCCAAATCATTTTGGCATACGTCACTATATACAGTGTTATTTCATACTTGTTTAAATACAAAATGTACAAAAAAGTTTAATGGAGACAGCACATCGCAGATTTGTTTTTTGAGGGGATTGAACAGCAGACAAAATAAATATAATACTTTTAATCAAATAAGCTTCTAAGAAATACCATTTTCATTAAAAATGAAAAGGACATAAAAATCAAAATGGTTCATGACTTTGAAGCAGCAAATCAGTAAACGTTTCGTAAAATCCTATAGTGAAAAAGTTAACCCCAGCCTTTTTCTATTGATTATTAAGAAGTTCTGCAAAGGTTTCAGTTTATGTTTTAAAAATTCATGGTGTGGTACTGTTTCTAACTTAATTCTAAAACACCTAAATATTACTTCCGTTACTGTGCTCCGACCATGAGGAAGCTTCCAAACATATTTGCCAAAAAGATCATTGCAAAACAAATTTTCCGTCTCACGCAACTCTACGTTTCGGCACAATTATTGTTTTATAGTTTCGCTAAATAATGTTAATATCAGGGTTTAATAATATAAATAAGTAAACATCACCGAGGATGAGAGCTGGTAAATGTCCCCTGAAATTGCTAATAGGAAATTCGTTCAAGTCTTTTAAAATTATGTACATTTTAATGGGAAATCAACCAGTTGCTTTTATATAGAAACCGTATTGCAGAACAGTCACGTGTTGTTTCACTATGGCGTCATAAATATGTCAAAGTTTATGTATTTGACCGAAAATTGTCATTTCACTCATAGTTCTTGGTCACAATTTTTGAGCAAGAGCATTACCCAACAAATATTTTACACACATTAACGTCTTTGTGCAATACATTTTGTAAGGAAATATCTTTTTGAGAAGCGCACTTTCTAAAATCTAAATACATGGTAAGATCTCAAAATGATGCTACTTTGACACTTTTGCGGTTCTGTACTAAAAACAGGAAGTTTGACGTTAAAATGACAAAATTCAAGACAATATGTAAACATATAAATTCTAATATCCAACAGATTTATGTGTTATAAACATATGAAGGATGTTATTCGGTATATTTGATATATTTCAATTTTCGAGTTAAACTTGTTAAAGGGGCCAAAATATGGCCTTATCAACATTATCTTTTGTTCAAGCTATATAGTGTACGAAAATTAAATATTCTATAAGAGTTGTACATTGGAAAGCATAGCTATATGTTTTAATGGCACAAGATATGCTGTATGAGAACAGCCTCACATCAAGCTACCCTTTTCCGCTTGCTCCAGATACAGCACTGGTACCACGGGCTCAGATCCGTCTTCATTTTAACATGTTTAAAACGACATTCTCACTGTAGTATTTTGCAATCCTGGTTAAGATACTATTGCCTATCGCTGGGACTTCCTTAAGCTCCTTCTGCTTCCTTTTCTTTTTTTCGTCAAAGTATCATCTGAAAATAAGCCAAAAGTATAACAAATTTTAATATGAATAAAGAAAGAAATTCAACTCCTGACCAAAACAACAATCATATCCTATGCTCATTTTTGAACTGACGTGTTGTTCTGTCACTCGATGAATATTTTTACTAGTCCTGAATTCATAATACTAAAAAAGGAACTATCCGTAAATACAGCTATTATTAAATTGTTGTTTCTTAGCCAGAACACAAAGAATAGTTGGTGCCTAACCACAAAAAAGACAAACATACGTACAGTATATATTTTTGCAATGTTATCACTTGCTAATATGCTCATTGGCTCCAACAAAATGACCATAAAGCATGAAAGTTTTTTATTCAATACTGATGTGAAAATTCAATACTGCTTTCTTTTTAAGTGGATCTGAAAAAATGTTGGAGAGACTGACGCTTTGATTGGATAGAAATACAAACCTGAAGACAAGAGTACACATGATGGTATGTCGCTCCTTCTTAAAGGGGCACTAGCTACGAGAAATATAAAAAAGTCTAAAGTCTCGCCTCATCAAAGTCAGGAAAGCGAGACTAAATCGTGCTGTTTTGGGCAGTATCGGTGCCGTCAATAATGTGTTAGAGTTTGTGATTAAGTAGGTTTAAGTGGGAGCGGTAAGGATATGTCAATCATTTTTTGTCAATGGTATTTGATGTGAAATTGCATTGGCACATTTCATTTCCATTGATGTTATTGAGTCTGGCCTTTGACTTTAAACCTTTGCTTAGTTTCAAGGTATTTTTTCTGATTAGGTTAGTTTGATGGTATTCACTTGTAGTAAGTCAATGATATCTTATGTGTTGATGAATCAGCGTTAGCACATCTCATATCTACAAGGATTACTTGGGACCGTCCATAGTTTTATTAGTTATAGCATGTATCAATTCAATAGAATTTTTTGGTCCCATTCCGTAAGCAATGGTTCATTGACCTATGTGTTTTTGCATAGGTTACTTGTGAAAAAGTAAAATTACAAAAATACCGAACTCTGAAGAAAATTCTAAATGGCAAGTCCCTAAGCAAATGGGAAAATCAAAAGCTCAAACATATCAAACAAATGGATATCAACTGTCATATTTCTGCCCTGGTACTGACATTTTTTTATGTACAAAATAGTGGATCAATTCTGGTTTTATATCTAGCTAAACCTCTCACTTGTATGACAGTCGCATTACATTCCTTAATATAACAACGATGTGTGAACAAAACAAACAGACATAAAAATGTCAAAAATAGGGGGACAGCAGTCAACATTGTGTTATAATCTTAATCACTATTAAAACAAACAAATATGTCAACAAAGAAAAAGACAAGCACATCAGCAAAAACGAAAGACAAGAATACAAAAATTTACCATGGCACATTAACACAATGACGGGATGTCCACGTCAATGGATATTACCAAAAATAGACTAATCAGTAAAAGTAATAAGATTATGACTGCATCAAATTAGGAGCGGTCCAACTCCAATAGTTACTGTCCAGGATTTGCAAAGTTGAACAATTAAAATCAATTATATAAAGAAAGCAGTTGTAAAAAAATTGTCATATCATTTTCACAAAGGTTTTTTTGGCTTTGACCTTCACTCGTTTTTTCCACCCTTTATGTTTTTCATAGTTTAAATTGTAAAGTATTGGCGTTGTCATATTACAGTTTGCATTTTACTATCATAAGTAAATGCAGGCGAGCCACATTCCTGTGTCAACAGTTTATTAACCCATGGCATGGAATATCTTATCAGGTAACATCCACACCATATATTTTTGTGAACTAAATTTTGAATACACACGAAAAGTACCCAAAATTGTGTTTAGGAAACCAAAGACAAAACTGTTAAAGTTCGAAATATTTCTATATTTGCAATGACAGATCCTTAATATTTTTTTAGTTATCTTGTTGTCATGTTTAAGTGGTCACTAAGACTGAGCTAAGTTTGATTTATTTACCTTTTATTTTTTCCTTAAGTCTGGCCAGTGGAACATTTTCATCTGACTCGCTTGAATCTAGTCGCCTCTTTCTGCTATATCTACCTTTCGGGTGACCTCGCCTTTTTCTTGCTGCAGTAAACAAATAGCACAGATTTAAAATTGTGGATAATTTCTGTATTTAAAAAATATCTTTTCTTAAACAATTACTACAATATTCTTTAGTATGACGTTATTAACTTGCTGTTTCTGTATTGGCCCTGGTATAAATTCGAGATACACTGTATTTGGCCGATACTCTAATAATTCTATCCATTCCAGCTAACTGAGAAACATACTGTTAAATACCTTGTAGGTAAATTAAATCATATTTGAACTTTCCTTTTCCCAGTCGCGACAAATGTCACATTATATACCCTGTCTGAAACCTCAATTACACATATATTATATAAGTCTGTTTGTCTTTTTATTTTTAGCCATGGCGTTGTCAGTATGTTTCCGATCTAAGAGTTTGACTGTCCCTCTGGTATCTTTCGTCCCTCTTTTACGGATTCCCCTGTATTATTTTTTTTTCCAAGTACCAGGTATTGGTTTAACATTGTTAACATACAGTATAGATATTTTCCGCATACGTAAAGGATTTTGTAATTTGCCGTGAAAATAATTCTTTCGTGTATGCCATTATTTGTAATACAACTTAAAGACAAGTTAGTATTTGATATCTGAATCGCGTTATTTAAAAACGTATTGTTGACGGATACACGTCATTATTTTCCCTGTGTGAGCCTCTGATGTTCTTAAAGTATTTTGTATAGCTAAAGACTACGTCATATAGTAACGTTCGTTATTATGACATTGTAGAATTTCCAATCATTTCTAATCAGTATTCGGCATTTTTTATAAAGAGTTGTGATAAATAAATGTTAAACTTAAAGTTAAAATTAAACTGAGCGGTCTAAAAAACTATACATATGTGTGTAAAACATGTTCGTGTCATGAGCGATGACTTAAAAAATTAAATGTTTGTACAGTTAGTTGAGAGTATGAAAATTTCCAGGTCAATGCTTGATTAATCTATTAGTTCATTTTACCATAAAGACATTGACATTTGTAATGATTTATCGACCCTAGTGAACATAAATGTTTATATATTTTGTTTTCTCAGGGCATTGCATAGTATGGGCTTTATCAATGGATTAAAGGCCAGTCTGTAACTTGTAGTTGTTTCATCATTGACCTCTGGTGCAAAGTTGTCTCATTAGAAATCAAACCACATCTACATATTCTAATACTGTTAATTACCTTGTTCTTTCTTAAACTGTTCATTTATCACACGAACTATATCTCTATGACCTCTTTCAGATGCAATTATTAAAGATGACTGGCCTTGATTGTTACATTTATTATAATCTGCACCTATGTCTAACAACATCCTAACTATTTCTGTATGGCCATTTCTACAAGCACACATTACAGGTGACCAACCCACATTGTTACAATTATTATAGTCTGCTCCTGTATCTAACAACACCTTTACTATTTCCGTATATCCCTCGCCACAAGCAAAAATTACAGGTGAACAACCCGAATTGTCACATTTACTATAGTCTGCTCCTGCGTCTAACAACATCCTTACTATTTCCGTATGCCCCTTACTACACGCCAAAACTACAGGTGAGCAACCCGAATTGTCACATTTATTATAATCTGCTCCTGTGTCTAACAACATCTTTACTATTTCTGTACGACCATGTATACAGGCACTCATAAAAGGTGACCTACCAATACTGTCACATTTATTATAATCTGCTCCTGTGTCAAGCAGCATCCTTACTATTTCTATCAAACCATAAAAAACAGCAAAATGCAATGCGGTTAAATTCTTCTCGCTACACTTATTTACACAAACCCCATGATTAACACACCAGGAAATCATCGAAATATCATCATAGGAACATAACAGTATCAGTACAGTATAATTGCCACGTACATCACATGTGTGGGCTAATTTTTTCTGGTAAGACGTGTTCAATCCTTTCAAATGACAGAGAATTCTCCGTCTGAACTGAGGTATCTCCATGTTTATGTTACCAAATACTTCAATAACTTCACCCTTTGACCAGTCGTCAATTATTCTATGTATATACATTTGGTGATACTTTGGAGGCAAAACTGATATAAACTGATCCACATTGTCTTGTTTTTCTATTACAAATCTTCTCATAATAACATTGCTACGTGCATTCTTTATCAAGCAGTGGATTATTTTTTGTCCAAAGTAGTACACTAGAAAGTCAAATATTGTATCATGAATAGTTCTGTATATGTTTTGTTCCTTTTTCAGGAATGTGTGTATCAATGAATTAAGTTCATCCCGTAATTTAAGCCTTGATGTTCCTCTGTCCAGCTTACATGCCTCACATGTGTTCTCGATTATAGCTCTTGTTTTTTCATTCACCTCCTCTGTTAGGGTTTCTTCCTTTACATTGTTGTTAAACATGACACATAAAGCCAAAGCACAGTATTTACTGGAAAATCCTTTTTTTTGTAGCTTATCTATCTCTTCTTCATAAACTGAAAAAGGCTTTTGGAAGAAATCTTTGATATTTAGTAAAGGGTTTTCTTGATATAATTTACATAAAAGTGGGAAGCAATCATATAAATCATAACAATCTGATATATCAGGAGCTTTAGTTTTAAGATATAATTTGGCTATTGACTTCTTTTCAGCTTTTGACAAGCACAGGCTATCTGATAAAAGGTTACAAATGCATGATTTGAAAACTGATAAAGATTCGAATTTCTCATCCCGATACACTTGTAGTCGACATGCTACAATTATCTTGGCAAATGTGTTTGAAAGAATTTTTGTTATTTGCTCAATGAATGGTTCCCAAACTTTCATGTCAGTCTGATTTAAAGAATAGTTACCACATAAATCATCAATAACAAACAATGTCTTCTTTTTAGGGTTATAAAACTTGACAATGTCACCTGGGTCTCTTACTGGAAGTACATCGTACCCTTCTGCTGACATCTGTAAAGCCACATGTCGAAGTATGGCTGTCTTACCAACACCAGAACTAGCGGTGATAGTCACATTACTGTTCTCCTTAATACATTTCAGTACATGTTTGGCAGCTCTAGTTGTTATAAACATCTTGTCATTCTCCTTCCACTCCACAAGATCCTGACTGATTTGTGCTACAATAGAAATTATTGAATACTAGTACGTATTATGGACTTTATTTTAATGATTTTGAAGTTCATATCCTTGCAATTTACTTTAATACTCAACCAGTTTTATTGATTAGTCACTGTTTTTTTGTCATAATGGCATTGCCCTTACACATGAAAAATTGGTTCACATGAATTTCATCTGAACTTCACATGAAATTTACGTAAAATTTTCAGGTGAGATTCACCTCAAACGAGCTTATACATGAAACTCACTTGAAAATGTTCATGTGAATTTCACGTGAATTGAGATTCGCATGAATTTCACGTAAAATTTTTGGCATGAATTTCCCTTGAATTGTTCTTACTAACTTTGAAATTAAGATGTTATTTGAATTACATTATTTAAAACAATTTTGCGAATTTCGCTTGAAAAAAAAATCATTTTTATTTAAACATGATATTCACGTGAAACTCATATGAACTGATGTCACGTGAGTTCAGGTATAAGCTCGTGTGAGGTGAAAACCACCTGCATTTCACGTGAGATTCACTCGAATTTCACGTGAGATTAACATGAAATTAAATTCACGAGAAATTGATGTGAGTGAAATTTCCCTGTGTAGGAGTCTTGAATTTTGGCATTTTGTTCTTGTTTTAATGATACATCATATCGATTTCCAGTGTTTTTATTCGTATTGTAAATTGCTTCAATACAATTTGCCAAGAGATTCAGCATCAATGGTTTGCTTAATCTTGGGCGAGTAGGTATCAAACTTCTACAGCAAAGCGGGTTGAAAACTTATTTCAAAACAAGAGGCTCCCAAGAGCCTGAATCGTTCACTTGGAAAAACATAATCTATTTTGATATTTGTTTCAACTTAATAGCAATCAATTATGTTTTCCTCACTGTAAATCTTATTTAGTAGCTTTTGTGTAGGTCTGGTGTTGGAGATTATTTTTAGAGTTTACTTTCTCTTTTCCTATCTATTTAAGATTTTGAGATAAAAAAAAAAGTTATTCATTATAAATCTTATAATTATTTGGACAATTTGGTGTGGTATGATCGCCAATGAGACAACTCTCAACCATGCAGAAAGCAAATGACGAAGCGGTTAACAAATATAGGTCATCATACGGCCTCAATAAATGGCAAACCCAATACCATACAGTAAGCTATAAAAGGCCTCGAAATGAAAAATGCAAAACAATTCAATCGAGAAACATAACGGCCTCATTTACTTACTTTAAGATTTTATTTTGCGGACCTTTAGTTTTAGGTTTTCTCCTACTCTTGCTCTTAAACTATTTTATACAAAAATGTTAAAAAGGGATAAAAGTCATAATTCAGAGAAAATAACTTTGAAAAGGAGTATTTTTGCAATGATAAATGATTTGTAGATCTTATTGTGTTGAACATTTTTTTACTGTTTCTCTTTATTTATCACAGTCTGTGCATAAACCGAAATAAATGAAGGGAAAACATCTTGGAAGGGCTTCTCTCAATGGTCATTTGACTTAGATCTTATGTTGCTGTACGTTTTTACTATCTATTGTTGCTATCTATTGATCTTATTTCTGCAAATGAGTCATCAAATTGGAAAAAATAGTTAACAATTTCGGTTATCATCACTTGTTTGTAAATCTTATTGTGCTTATTGTCTTTGCTATTTACAATTGCTCTCAATCTATAGTGTTTTTTGCAAACAAAATGCAACTCTAGTGGAATATTTCTGTTAACCTGATCATCAGAGAAATATCTCTTACATTCGACTTCATCATCAGAGTATTTCCTCTGGCATTCCAATCTTATCAACAGAGCAGTATATCTACTATTTCAAATTCGAACTGATCGTCAGATAGTAGTGACTAACTTTCTAACCTAATCTCCAGAGGATTACTTCAAACGTTTCAATCTGATCACAAGAGAATCTCCTCTTTCATTTTAATCTGATCACCAGAGGATTGTCTTTAGCATTTCAACCTGATCACGAGAAAATTACCCTTAACATTTTAACCTGATCACAAGAGGATAACGTCAAACATTTCACCCTGATCACGAGATGATAACCTCTTACGTTTCAAACTAATCGACATAGGAATAACTCTACGATTACAACCTGCTCACCAGATTATTATCTCTAATTATCCAACTTAATCACGAAAAGAAAATCCTTAAATTCAAATCTGACCACCTGCTGATTACCTCTAACATTACAACAAGCGGATGATCACAAGAGGATTAATTTTAACAGTTAAGTCTGATTACTAGAGGTTAACTGCTAAGATGTCAATCAGATCTACAAAAGAATATCGTTAACAGTTCGACTTCTGTTTACCTCTTATATTCAAAGGCACTGTATCTTTTAACCTTTCTACTTCAACTGTCAAATCTGCATTTGCTAATCTCAAACTCTCAACTGATTGTTTCAATTCCCTAATTTCATCATTTGAGCGTTTGATGTCTAACATTATTTCTTGATTAGTCTGGTCCAATATCTTTCTTTTCAAATTATCACACTCCAGCTTCATTGGTTGTCCACCTAATCTGCCGACAGCCTGGAAAATGTGTAGTTTTTGTTGACAAATGTAGGTGTTTCATAATTTACAAGTAAATGATATAAAATCTATTTCAATAACAGTTATGTATATGCTCAACACAAAATGCATCAACAAAAATTAATATTTAGTACATTGAAGAAATCTTGACCTTTCATAACAATAATATTTTCATATTTTTCAAAATAACATATAAACTTTTGACACAGAGATAAATCTTGCCTATATGTATTTTTGATAGAATAAAGCAAATGTTTAAGCAGTTAAAACATGTAAATTATGCAAAAACTTAAAAGTTTATAAACTATAATTCAGGTGGTAGGGCCAAATTATCTCTTAGGAAATGAGAAATGTCACTGGTAATACAAGTGCCTACCGAAAATCATGACCTATAACATCTCAACCTAATCACTAGAGGATTACCTGTAACATTTCAACTTGATCACTTGAGGATTACCTATAACATCTCAACTTGATCACAAGATGACTACCTCTAACATCTCAACCTGATCACTAAAGGATAACCTCTAACATTTCAACCTGATCACTAGAGGATTACCTCTAACATTTCAACCTAATCACTAGAGGATTACCTCTAACATCTCAACCTGATCACTAGAGGATTACCTGTAACATTTCAACCTGATCACTAGAGGATTACCTGTAACATCTCAACCTGACCACTAGAGGATAACCTATAACATTTCTACCTGATCACAAGAGGATTACCTCTAACATCTCAACCTGATCACAGGAGGATTACCTCTAACATCTCAACCTGATCACTAGAGGATTACCTTTAACATCTCAACCTTATCATCAAAGGATTACCTCTAACATCTCAACCTGATCACTAGAGGATTACCTCTAACATCTCAACCTGATCACCAGAGGATTACTTGTATCATTTCAACCTGATCACCAGAGGATTACCTCTAACATCTCAACCTGATCACAAGAGGATTACCTCTAACATCTCAACCTGATCACAGGAGGATTACCTCTAACATCTCAACCTGATCACTAGAGGATTACTTTTAACATCTCAACCTTATCATCAGAGGATTACCTCTAACATCTCAATCTGATCACTAGAGGATTACCTCTAACATCTCAACCTGATCACCAGAGGATTACTTGTATCATTTCAACCTGATCACCAGAGGATTACCTCTAACATCTCAACCTGATCACCAGTGGATTACCTGTAACATTTCAACCTGATCACTAGAGGATTACCTGTAACATTTCAATCTGATCACTAGAGGATTACCTATAACATCTCAACCTGATCACCAGTGGATTACCTCTAACATTTCAACCTGATCACAACTGGATT